AGTGAAAATGTTCAACAAAAAATAAACGTTGTTAAACCAATTACTGAAATAAAAATTTTTTCATCTGTTGAAGAATTTAATGACTATTATGCTAATAATAAAAAATTATTTGAAGAATTGACAACATGTAAATTGAATAAAATGTTTAAAGTTGATGGATTCAAAATTTCAAAAATAAAGGGGGTGGTTAGTTTGAAATCTATTCCTCAATCAAGAATCACCTCATTAATGAAAATAGATGATTTAACAAAAAGAATAGAAGAGATTGAAGAAAGAATGAATCAAATAATTGATTTCATAAATTCAAATAATCATTAGTTTCTTAAAGTTCAATGTTGAACTCATCAAATTCTTCTTCATCATTACCATTACCTTTAGCGAGTTTATTTACTCTTTCAACTCTATCTTTTGATAGTCTATCGTTTAATTTTTTCTGAAGTTTTTCGTTACCAAGTTCTAAAATTTTACATGGATGATATTTAAACCCGTTAAATTCTTTTTCCTCAGTTTTAATCATTAATCTACAAAGAACTTTAGTGAGGTGGTTTTGTTGTTTAAACCATTTATCCTTAATATTTGTTATAAATTCAATATCCGGAATTAATTCCCAAATTTTTGAATTTTCGATTAATTTACCATCAAATGCAAAAGCAATAGGTTTAATATTAAACTTACCTTTATAAAATAAACTTTGTATGTAATCATCAAAATAAACGTCTACTTGTTTAACCTGGGTGAGAATTGGTGAAAGTTTATTCATTAATTGATTCACAGTCACGAATTTTGATTCACTCATTTCTTACGAATTAAAAAAATAAATTATTCAAAAATGTAAGACATGAATTTTTAAAGTTTATTTTTAAAAAAAATTATTTTTTATTTTATTCATGAAAATAATTATTTCTAATTTCTTTTACTCGTTTATGAGGTCTTTGATTATGACTCCATTGATTCCATTCAGGATTTAAACAATGTTTAATTAATCGCGGAATATCTGACATCATCTATATATAGCTTCTTTTATAAAAGATAAAAAAATAAATTATTTTAAAATTAATGTTAATTTTTTAATGATTTATTTCATTATGTTTGGGCTGAGTGTAAATGTCTTACAATTTTGAAAATTTTTTAAATCTTGATTTATTCAAAAACGTAAGAATAAAAACCGTAAGAATCATACATTTTTTACTTCATATGTTAAAAAAAATGATACAAAATCGCTCGATATTGTATGAATTCTTACGTTTACAAAAAAAGTCACTAAACCCATCATATCCTACTACTTTTGGAAATGATCAAAATATCCTAATGTAAACGTTTGCTCTTAGAATTCAGTGTCATAGTCGATTGTTTCTAACAAATTAATCTTTTTTGCATTGATTTTCGAAGTATTGCATTTTCATTACGGCCAAATCTGCTCTCTTTCATTAGATTGATAGCTCACAATAGTTCTTGTAATCAGAGAGGAAATATCTTACGAAATATACCTCTAAATTTTCACTTTATAGATAAATGTTATATTTTTCCGTTACTCGATTATTGTCCAATAAAACCACAATCATATTAAACTTCGTCCAAAATAAACAATAAAGAATAGTTTTTAAGTTTCTTAAACGGTTTATGAAGGTTCATATTTAATCGATTTTTTTATTTTCAATTCATGTATCTATAGTTCGTTAGTCTATCATCCCTTCATAAATTATCTGCAAAGAATTTTGTAGAATCTCAACTCTGTGAGGAACTACAATAAATTGAAAAGTCATTTTGTGATATCAAAATCCAATATATTATTCTTTCTAATACATATTAATAATATCTTGAGATGTAGTACACTATATATACTTTCAAAAATCTTATATGTTTATTAGTTATTGAGATAGAAGCGATTTAATTCTTTGAAAATCGACGAAAAGTGCCATATTCATAAAATTATAGGGTAAATCGAAATTATAAAAAACAATACATTTATTCATTGAAACTACTTGGACAAATATGAAACAAGCATTCAGGCAATACTTTTGAGACTTCAACGCATCTGATAATTTTTATATAACTTCACCTCTTATGCTTAGAGTGGAGGTATTGAGATCGTATAAGTATAGATGAGCTCACATTCAGATATGATGTGTGAACTTCTGTTTTCACTGCAATTTTGAATCAGAATAAACTCAAAACAAGAATAAAATGATATACTCACTCTCTAAATGTGTTCGAGATTTAAAGTTGTATGAATAAAACGATTCATCTTTCGAAGCCTCCCATTTAATGAGAGACTTCGAAAGATGAATGTATTCATGTAGATGAAATACTATATATGACCATGTGTGATACTAAAGATATCAAAATGTTCATTTTTAAGTGCAATAGAAGGGTTATCTCTCGTAAAATCTCAATTTAAGGAAGATTTAGAAAGAACTCCTTTCCTAAGTAGATAGTGTGTGGTTTCTGTCTTTTGGTTGATCAGGAACTATGAAATTAAGTCGGACAGAAAGAAGTTCTTTCCAAAACAGACTCCAAATGAGTTGTTCGAAAAGAACTTCCTTCTGTATATGGATAATTGTAGTTACCGCACTGAAGTATGTGATTGTGATGATGGAGTTCTCGATAAATCTAAAATCGGATTAAGATTAATTGAAAACTCAAGTAATTCTTTGAAATCTTGTGTTGTCTGGCACTATAATAACCAAAGAATGAGAATATTATGTTGAATGATGAGTACGTGTGCTCGGCATTCGCCGAGCGAATTGAGTTTAACGTACTATGAAAAGTGACGAATTTGGGCTTTTTTTCCTAGGGTTATGATCTCTTCCTTTCTGCTCAATACGACAGAAATGAAAGAATGAATTTGTACTCCCTAATTGATTACTACAATCTGTATCTATCTTTAACATAGAATTAGCTGCATTGTGATTTATACTCCAGAATTATTCAATTTAAGATCAACCTCGTAAATTTTAATCATATTGCACCAATACTCCTACGTTGAGATAAGAACATGATTATACATACCAAAGCCCCATATTAAAAATCAAAATTTAGCACCTCCATTATGCAACCACATTATTCGTCGCAAATAAGTATATTTACGCATATTATGATGCATATTCACACAACTCGTATACATGAAAAGTTATTAAAATCAGACAAAATTATTGCAATAAGGAAAAAAAAACAACTTTATTATATATGTTAGTAATGAATTACAAATATTTCTACAAAGAATGCTCAATACTTCATATAATCTTCGAATATTTCTTATTACATTAATACATTTTGACTCGAACATGATAAACAAAAGCTGACACGCTGATTACTACATTTATGAAAATATAGTACGTTTCCATTCATCTGTTTACTTGTTTTTGTTGGAATAAAATCATTTTTTTTTTCTTTCATGAAATAAGAATTTTGCTGCGAAAGCAATATCTCTAACAATAATTAATACATTACGTCAACTCTGGAATGAGTATTTATCAAATATGATATCAAAATTAAAAATTAGTTGTTTTTTATGAGTAAAAACGATGTAAATTGATTATTTGACTAATTATCAAATACTTTGATTTTCCAAATTTTTTTCGAAATTGATTTTTTCATGTGAAAATTCAAATTGTTTAATTTCATTTTTGAAATTTTGAATTTTTTTTGGAATTTTGAGTTGATCAATTCAGCAGAATTGATAATGCTATTGCTTTAGGGCATACCACAAGGTGATGAATAAAAGGTGAACATTAACAAATTATTTTAAATCACAAATATCATCCTCATCAACTTTAATTCTAAAAAGAACTGTACTGAATTATGAAAATGCATGATTTACATTATTAAAATCTTTGAATGAAAATAGTACAAGATAAGTTTTTATTCATTTTTAATTAGATTTAAACGAAAAACTACTCCATATTAAAATTTAAGTCGAGAAATCGTATTTTGTTCTTATTTGTTAGCATTTTGTAGACATTCTAATCTTGAATTAATTTGTTACATGATATTATTAACAAATTTAACTGAAAAAATATGTTAATATGGAATAAACCATGATTATATAAGCTATCAATGCTATATATACATATGTAAAAGATTCATATTAACTCAATTAACAAAAATGATAGATTTTCATAAAGGTTCAATCTAGGTTCGTCCGAAAATTTTGATTTTTATATAGAAGACATAGTTTCATATACATAATTAAATTTTCAAACAAATTTGATCATACCATTTATTAAGCAGGATAGTATATTAATTACTATCAGTATAAAAATATAAAAATGATTATATTTAATTATTGCATAATTTAGTCAAAGAGTTATAAGCCTCAAGTGATCGTTATCACCTTCAATGCACGTATACTTTATTGATTCATAGATATTTAATCTATGTTTGACATGTTGTTGTCGTCATTCGTTTTGTTCCCATTCTTCCTAAGTTAGAATTAGAGAATACACCATCCACATCATCTAATTTGGTCCTCAGCGATAGATTGGTTCATTTTGGAGGAGTCCCATCAGACAGTTTTCGAGCACCAAATATCAAATTTTAATGTATACAAATCTTTAGTGATTTATCTCTTTTATGATGAGTAAAAGGTTTCTGCTCATCAACATTTGATTTCCGACATATATGATTTCTAATTGCAATTATTTACTTTCTTTTTATAATCTAACTCTGTGACTCATACCATAAATTAATTATTGGAAAGTGTCAATATGTTTGGCACAACGCATGGCGGAAGATACCAAACCATGCAGGGAATATGATACGTTTAAGATCTCCGAACTTTTTTTCCAAAAATTTTCTATCGTTGCCCTACCTCTCCTATGAAAAGTACTCTCAAAACTAACTTTTTCCTAATTATAATTAAATCTAGAATATTGTATTATGCTTAGTATTATTTCATTTTTCTCATTCAATTTAGAATTTACAAATGTCAAAAAATTGAGAGCTGTCACTTTTGATGAATTTCTGTTTATTACAGGAAATTCTTATCATAATAATAAGAATCAGAAAGTTTCTAATTGAATATTCAAATCATATTCAATTGGTGTTTCATACTGATAATAAAAATTATCACCCAAAAAATCGAGTTGAACGAGGTTCTCGTCAGACCAGTCACTCATTTGAGCAGAGCTTGGTTTCAAATCACCTGATTCAGAAGGATTTTTTTCCTCATCATATTTACTTAAATCACGTTTCTTCGACCTGCCCTTACAGAGTTTCTGAATTACGCCATTGTTGTTGATTATAAATCCATCAACAGGATCAGTGTCATCACTAAGCTCCCCGGTAAATTTGATGTATTTACATTCAGCTCCTGATACAATTTCTGCCATTTCCTTCACACGTTCGAATTCCTCAATTTTGCCATATTTATAAAACCAATATAATGACTCCTTGTGCCCCCTGGCAAATTCTGGATCCAATTTAATACTATTCTTTTGACAATACCTAATTAAGATTCCTTTTATCTTGTAGGCTTTCATTTTTGTAAATTTCTGCAAACAATTTTTCCAAAAACCTTCATCATTCATGATTTCTTCTCGAAGCTTCTTTCTGGCTATGGTTTGTCTAATGCCATACACTTTATTACTCTTGTTCGCTGGTTTTCCCATGGGAACAAAAAATAATGAAGTGTTTTCAATGCTCTCAATTTTAATTTTTTTGAGTAAGTCATCCTTGATATTTTTAAACTATATCGTGAGTAGATCTGACTGTGATTTTATGATTTTACATTCAAAATTAGTCATACCATTCAAAAATTTTCTTTTGAATTTGATATTTTTCAAATAAAAAAAATTGAATAAGTGGAAGATGTCTTAAAAATACATCACATTTTTATGATAATAGTGTACACTATTGTTGTAAATGGTAAAACTCTTTAACTTTCTTATTCTCTTGAACAATACATTGGTGGAATGCATTTTTGTAAACTCATTCAAGAGTTTATGTTTTCAGGTATACATCTCTATATAGGCAATTTTTAACAAAAAAAAATTTCATCACAAAATCAATCCAAAAAATATGAGTTCAAATAATTGCATCATCGAAAGCAAAGGAGTATACAGTATAATGCAGTCGGAGAGAAGAAACATGATTGGCTCAAAAGTTGAGAATTTATGATATATTCCAATCCCGTCTTACATATATAAATTTCATATTTCAGCTATATAAATAGAAATATTGCTATTAAATCACTCAAGTTCTACTGTACAAAATGCTAAAAAATTGAAAAAAATAGAATGTTAATATGATCTTGGAGAAATATTAAGATTATCGATGCGATATCACGTTAACATATGTAATTGTATTATATTGATTATTATTTTCTTTTTTGGACATGTTTCGAATGAACTTTCAGGCAAGATTGTAATGAAAATCAATGATAATTGAAACATAATTATCATATAATATATAAGTCGTTATATTTTGTTATCATGAATAGCTTCTTTTGTTCCATCTATTTTTTCCAAAACAGAAAAAAAATGAAACGAAATTGACCATTTTAAAAAATTAATGTAGGGAATTCATTAGGATCTAAATTGATCACATTAAGTGATATGCATTGGTCAACTTTTTTCAAGTTCACGTCTTATATAAAAATTTCACCGGGATTGTTTTTGACAATTTTTGAACAATCAATCTCTCAATTTTGAATGGTTTATATATTAAATCAAATTTGGTTGATAAGATACATATTGAATCCAGGTTCATTTCAAATCTTAATTGGTGATGTTCTGTTTTCATATCATTGAATCAAAAGAGCCCAATTCGCTTCGTAGAAGTTTGAACAATGATACAAATCAACGAATGCATTTCAGTTTAAAAAATAACTCAAGAAAGGTCAAAACTTCATTTTCCAGTAAATTTATCATTTGGATATGATGATAACTTGTTCATTGGCAATTTTAGATATTCTGGTTTCTATTAGATACTTATTTTGCTAGGATTTGAAATTTGTAAATTTCATTATAAGGTCCTTTTTTGAGCAATAATTAATATGCATTAATCCTGTTCAGTGTCTATATTGATGATGTCTCATAATTTGAGAATAGCAAAATTGAGAAGATAATTCTTACAAAAGCTGAGTTGTGAATGTTAAGTGAGATTAAAAGAAGTATGTCCATCAGGCTTGCGATTATTTCATGGAAAATGACGAATTAAAGGTGAATGCAGATAATTCATCGAAGGATAGAAGAAATTACAGAACCGGGCTGTCATTAAAGATGATGAAAAGAAGGACTATAAAAAGGATGAAAAGATTCTTAGAATAACTAACTGCAGGAACTTGAAAATGAAAAAACGTGAATCAAAGGGAGTATCAAAGCAATAGTTTATACTTTGCTGTTTTTAGGAGTCCATCGTAAGTTTTATATTAATCCGGTTTCGTTGGGTTAGTCTTTTGGCGCCAGTGAAAGGATCAGAATCATTAATGGGAATTGTGAAACTTAGATCTTCTCTAAACAAAAGCGGATTCAGAGTCTCTTTATTTGTTTAAATTCTCACTATATTTAAAATAGAAGTCGTGAATTGTTCCTGGTGTTATACTAGACATTGTTTTGCTTCAATGTTGATAAATAAACTCATCTGGAGAAGGAATTGTTTCAGTATTCTCCGTTTCCGAGAATTCAAACTTCCTATCATTTTTTGAAACAAAAACTCCAAAAACTTAATCTGCTGGTTTGATTTTGTATTTTGCTGCAGAGCACTCATGAACCAAACTCTTATAATGAAAATGGCCTAATCTTTCTATGTTTGGTAATCAATCAATGGCAAAATTTAATTTCTAAAACATACCAGCAGTTTATGCTCTCGCAATTCATCAACTTAGGATAAAAATTTGCATTCTGCTAGTTTATGATTTGTTTATACTCTGAATTAGCAGAAGATATTATACAATGACAAAATTTTTCAATGAAGTAAAGATTTGAATGTAATACTAATATAATATATCTACCTATTGCAATGGTATGCCTTTATGAAACTTATTCTGTGATTTGCCAATATTGTTTTTGTTCATTTCGAAATAGACCTCAAAGAACATGAATTTTTCAAAGATTTCATAATCACAATTACTATATTGCATACGGTGATCATTTTAAATATAATTTTGGCCGATGATCATTTGAGAGTCAAGATTTATGAATATTTTTGGATGCGAAAACGATTATTTCTAAAATATGACGGAATCAACAAACTTGTGGGAACTTGTCAAAAAAAATCCATATAATCCACATTTCTGGACAGAGTTAGTTATAGTCAGTGAAGAGACGCAAAACTATGAAGCAATTTCAAAGGCATACAACGGAATTTTAACTACTTTCCCATTATTGCATACCTATTGGTACAAGCTCGCTCAGTTGCAGCACAACAAGCTCACTGCTCGTGACGCTGCTCATGTATTCTCAGATGCAGTTCGTCCTTCGAATTTAGCAAATAGCGTCGATATGTGGTACCTTTATTGCGAATTTGTCAAGAAATACAGTGCTGAATTTCAGTCGCTAGAAGCAGAAACTGTTTTTGAAAACGCATTAAGCAATATTGGCTCAGATTACAATTCTGATCAAATTTGGTCGCTCTACATCAATATGGAAGAAGAGCATGGAGAATACAAGAAGGTTTCCCAATTATTCGCAAGAGTTTTGTCCCTTCCAATACGCAACATCGACCAATTTTGGAATAGTTTCTCAAAACATGTCGAATCCCATCCTATTGAAGACTGTGTCACCCCAGAAGAGCATCTCATTATTGAACAGCAGGTTTCTGAGTACGCAGATAAGCAAGAATTGGCTTCAATGGAGTCAATCAACCAAATCCGCCGCCAATACACAATTAACTTGAGGCAAGAAAAATGCCAAGAAGCCCAGCAAAATATTGCCAAAATTCTTTACTACGAACTCAAAATTCAACAAACTTACTTCCATTTCAAGAAGCCAAGCGACCTAGAAATTGCCAACTGGCTCCAATACATCGACTACATCGATTCTACTGCTTCTTTCGAAGAAACCTGCCATCTTTTCGAGAGATGTTTAATTCCATGCTCATTATGTCCATTTGTCTGGTTCAAATACGCAAAATACGTATTCACAAAGACTGAAGATATCCAGAAGGCCATAGATATCCTCGACAGAGCCAATGAAACCGCTTTATGCAATGATCCAGCTTATCACAGACTCCGAGGCATTTTCTTCGAAAACCACGGCATGCAAGATCAAGCTGATAACGCCTTCACTACTCTCGCCAAGTTTAAAGGTGCTTTTGCCGCTATTGAATCTTCATTTTACAAAATGCGCAAAGGCGAAGAATATATTGAGCCATTACTCAAGTTTTACTCAACAGCAACTGATGCCAATGACATTGCTCCAGTTGCAGCCCTTCTAAACAAGCTAAACCAGGAAATTAATCCAGATGAGCTCCTCCAACGCTGCAAATACAACAAACTCGCACTCTCTGTTGCATGCGGCATCTACGAGGCCCAGAACAACATCGCAAAGGCAAAGGAAGCTTTCAAAGCCTTCATAATTGGAAAAGCTGATATCAACGATAGAATTGAGACAAACCGTTATTTTGTCACTTTTCTAAATAAAGTTGGAGCACCAATTGATGAAATCAGGCTTGCAATGAAGCAGCAGATCATGCTTGAGAAGGAATCCCGTGTAGAACTTCGCCGTGAAAGAAGAGAAGAAGCGAAAAACACTCAAGATTTGTCAGAAAACCTCGACAGATGGATTAACTACTTGCAGGAGGCTGAAGCTGCAAAACAAAGGAATGACGCTCAGTGATGATATACATATAATATATTTTTTATGTTCTATATAAATATAAAAAAAAGTTTAATTTTTTTTTATTCAACTGTCAAATTTTTTTAAGGGATCACTGCCTTAGTTTACAAAAAAATACGTTATTAACACCGTGAGTCTTCTTCAAGAGATCTTTTTTAGATTTTGAAACAATGAAAAGATAGAGCATGATCGATATATGCTATATTTAAGTTTATTCATAAAAATATCAATTCTATCATAGAGAAAAAGTACATTTAAGTGCAAAAAATTGAATAGTTGTAAACTATAGCAGTGAGCCCTTAAGGATGCACTTACCACTATCTGACATTCTCTCAATTTTTTTGACACACAAGCTTTATATCCCAATTTTCTAAGGTCAAAAGTTTGCGATTTTAGGAAAAAGTGAAGCATTTGAATGAAATTCAAATGCATTAATTTTTAGTAAAATCAGCATTCTAGGAAAAGATGAACATTTTTTTGAATAAAAATCGATTTTGTAATCGATTTTAATTCAAAAAATGGCACGTTTTCCGAAAATTTACACTTTTCCAACGTTTTGTCAGGGGCGCGAAGCGACCCAAAAATGTCGGAAAAGTGTAATTCTCATGTATATGATTATTTTTGCTTTTAATGCCGAACAGCATTTGAATCAAAAATAATCGTATGTCTGAGAATTAGTATTTTTAATCACTGCTTAGTTCCTAAAATGACTTTTATACTCTTTTGCCATTTAAGGATGCACTAGCATTTCATAAAAATGCTTAGAATATGTAATTATTATGATAGTAAAACTTTGAGGCTCTAGATCCCTTTCGCTATTGAGTTGAATAATTTTTAATTCTTGATCATGTCAAATTTTGCATCCCGGAAAATATTATGCGCATAATTGAGTACTTTACAAAATGTGTTTTTAAAGCGATTTTTTTAGTCAAAAACATAACAAAATAAGATATTAATGAGAATGCACATAACCTTAATGGAAGATCATGTGAATCAAGTAGGAATTTCAGCTTTTGGAGCTGAAATAAAATTCATCATTTTGAAATTTGTGGAGTTTTTGTCTTCGTTGTCTGGGTATAGCCTTCTGAACTTGTGTTGCATTGAAAGGATAAGGATTTAGACCTCAAGAGTTTGTCAAATTAAGGATGGACAAAGCCATTGGGGAAGGCCATTAAAATTTTTAAAATTGAAAGAAACCATAATGTAAAGCACTCAAATCATGCAACAATAATATTTATCCGGGTGCCAAATTTGACTCAAGAATTCCATATTATGCGTAAAATTGAGACTTCGTCTCAATTTTACGCATAATATGTTAAATTTTCAAAGAAATTCTGAGTAGTATTCAAAAGTGTAAAAATTTTAAAAGTGAATAATATTTTTCCATAATCCCATTAAAATGATCTTTATTTGCAAGTACCTATTATTATTTTACAATAATTATGATATTTTCTTCTCTTACATTTGAATTTTCTGCACTTTTTTTTGATAGCCGTTTACAATTTCCCACCAATGCAAGAAAGGAACACAGCAATGACTTTTGTTACCGATGTTGTTTGATCTAGTTTAGGCACACTTTCATAAAGCTGTGTACAAAATATCTATTGATTCTTCCATGAATAATTAGCAAATATAGTATTATACTTTTATTTTTTTAAACGAGCAAGCTAACACCAATAGACTCATATTAAATTACATTATCCTACACTTCTTATATGAAAAATCAATATAATTGTATAATCAAATTTCAAAAACTCATCAGAAAAAAAATCAAAGAATAGACTCGTAATATATACTATATATGCATTTCAAATACGCAAAAATACATGATGGTAAGTCTGTCGCGATTTTTCAAAAAAATCCAGAGGTCGGAATAATAGATACTGTGAACTAATACTGATATCAGAATTTTTTCCCTCATGCAAATTTTATATGGTTTGCATACTGTTGAATAAACATTTATTTTCATAAAATTAGATTTTTTATTTTCATTTTAGTAATATATTTTTAAAATATCGTTCCATCAGGCTTTTATCCAAAAAGGAATATATCCTTTTGATTGTGTGAGCCATTCCTGATGTCACATGTTCTTGAGTTATATCTTTTATAAAATTGAGAGGAAAATCAAAAAAATTGAATAGAGTCAATTCAATTTTCCTAATCTAATAACTTCATGAATGTTAATTTTCCAGCCATACCATCAATATGATAGAATATCATTAGAATTTAAAATATTGTGATGGATTGATATTTTTATATTTTACAATTTTGGCCAAAAATCAAATCTGATTATTGTGAAAAACAATTATTATTTAAAAACATTAATAGAAATAGTAGTTTATAACAAATTAATATATATGGCAGAATACCAGATTATAGGTTTAAGTCCATCAAAAGTTATACATGCATGAACAATCTGACGTGGTGAGCGCATCCTTAAATAAATATATGTTCATATTATCTGAGTGTGAGAAAGTGGTAAGTGCACCCTTAAAAAATTATTATGATGAAAACTGATGAGCAATTTGAACATTAAGTTTGTAAATTAGATTGCTGTTCCTGTTTCGTGGAAACATGGTCAGCCAAATCTTTACAGGACATGTTTTATATTTTCTCATTAATATAGTTGTTAGCAAGTTATTTTGTTTAGTTAAAACATCAAAAACTCGACATTTATAGCTACTTCTTTGCTAATATATGTGAAAATGATAGTAACTTTGTTTGAAATTCGTATTTTCAAAAAATGAATGATTTAAATTTTAAAAATTAAATAAAAAAAAGAAAATCAAATTTGGTTTTTATAATAAGTTTAAAAATAACTAATGTGTAATTATTCATTTTTCAAGAAATTTTACAATGTCATGATGATTTTCACGACGTGCATACACAATGGCGGTAAGTCCATAACGATTTTTGACATCTTTATTAGCTCCGGCAAAAATAAGATATCTAACAACCTCAAGGTGACCATTTTCTGATGCATAGATAAGGACTGTTTTTCCATCTGAATCTTTAGCTTCAATATTAGCCCCATTAGTAAAAAAGTACTTAACTAATTCAAGATTACCATTTTTGGAAGCATATATAAGTGGAGTCTTTCCACCTGAATCTTTAGCCTCAATATTAGCTCCAATAGAAATTAATAATATAGCAAGTTCCGTGAAATTATTTTCTGATGCATATAAAAGAGAAGTTTTTCCATTTTTATATGTTGCTTCAGTATTTGCTCCTTTAGATATAAGTAATTTGACCAAATTGATATCATTTTTTTCTGTGGCTGCAATGAGAATTGTCCTCCCATTTGAATCTTTGCATTCTAACATAGAACCAATGGAAATAAGATATTTTACTATTTCCAAATGTCCTCTTTCTAATGCCAATGTAATTGATGAATAACCATTTTTATCAATTACATTTCTATTGGTTCCCGCTGATATAGGGTGTCCAAAGGTGTGTTTAGCACAAACCTGAATACTGCGAATAGAAATAAACAAGTTACATATATATAAAGTTTATTTAAATATAATCACCATTGGATTCAATCACGCGTTCGCAGCGATCGATCCAGGCTTGAAAGACACGCTTTAAATCATCATGAGAAAATTGCTCAAATTGCTCTCTTACAAAATTTTCAAGATCATCTGGACTCGCGAATTCGCGTCCTTCAGCTCTCTTTTTTAGCGTGCCGAATAAATAAAAGTCAGAGAGTGCAATATCAGGTGAATAAATTGGGTTTGGAACAACTTTGACATTGTTTTCCAACAAGTAATTCATTACCTTATGACTTTTGTGAACTCTTGAATTATCAAAATGAATTGCAAACTTTTGTTTTTGTTGTTTGGATTTCTCAAACTCATCAGAATTGATAATTTGAGTAAGAACATTGTCAATTAGATACTGAGCATTCATCGTATTAGGTTTTTGAAGAATATCAATTGCGATGATGCCATTCACGCCCCAAAAAACCGACAACATCATCATTGGTGTGTCAATTTTTTTCTTCGGGAATGTTTGCGGATTTTCATCCTTCGGGATCCACATGATTTTGGCTTCTGTTGCATATTGAAACCAAGACTCGTCCCCTGTTACTAAAAAGCGAAACTTCTTGGATTGATACGCACCCAATATAGAGAGGAGCTCTTTCGAAGATTGGACTCTAGATTTTTTTGAACTGAATTAAGGTTGTGCGGAACCCAACGTGTATACGCTAGTTTGTAGTTCAAATAATTGTGCAGATAATAACTGACTGTTGTACGTGGTATCTTTGTCATCTCCTCTATCCTTCTGAGTGATGCTCTTGGGTCTTCATCTAGCGCTTGAAGAATTGCTTTGATTTTTCTTTGATCCGGCGATTTTTTGTCAATTTTTATGATGGGCGCCTTTTTGTTCATGAAGTGATACATCCTAACATGATACGTTACAGTGGAATAGCTAGGAGCATCCATACCGAAGCATTTTACCAATGTCTCGTAGATTTTTTTACAGTCTTTGCATTTTTTTGCAAGAGCGAGGATGTTTTCTTTATGATTCATTAAAAAAATGAAAAAAATCCCGCCAAAATTTCCCGCGAAACCGCCTCTTGTCTCAAAATTCATTTTATATCCCGGCATGGCGCCAAAATACAACATACTCATCATATACATATATTCATATTTTTTATTATATATTTATAATCAGCATATATCTCCTTTAATAGTCTCATATAGAGCGCTGTGCTAAACGCACCTTTGGACACCCTATATTAGATATTTAATTAATTCCAAATTTCCATTATATGATGCTTCAAGGAGCGATGTTCTTCCTTCTTTATTTGCAGCTTCTTTATTTGCTCCTTTGGAAATAAGATATTTAACAACTTCAATATTCCCTTTGATAGTTGCCCAAATAAGGGGTGTAGATTCGTAATTTGATTTTGCTTCGATATTAGCGCCCATTTTTATAAGATACTTGACAATAACAAGCTGATTCTGTAATAAACAGAAATTCATCAAAAGTGACAGCTCTCAATTTTTTGACATTTGTAAATTCTAAATTGAATGAGAAAAATGAAATAATACTAAGCATAATACAATATTCTAGATTTAATTATAATTAGGAAAAAGTTAGTTTTGAGAGTACTTTTCATAGGCATATAGAATGAAATCTTCTGAAAAATAATATCACATAAACTCATATTATTTTCTAATATATAACTATTTTATATAAAAATCAAATTCAATGATCTTAAAAGCGAAGGATAAACCTCAAAATTTACGAATATAATGAGTGGGAATATAAGGTCAGGTATGAGGGGCTTCCAGGGGCTGCGCCCCTTCTAGCCCTAAGAAATGGACACAAGACCCAAGAGGAGGACCGAACCCCAGCCGACCAGCCGGTGACAACACTTTGACCGAGTAGTTTTTTGTGCTGAACAAGAAGTGTCATATAAACATCTGTCGAAAACCGCTTTTTAACTTCACTTAAAATGCCACGTAAGCTACGTAAGAATATACGTAAGAGGAAGGGAGCATTGAAACATCCAATAGTAAAACTGACACCACAACAACAGTTGCAACAACAAATGCTGAATGACCCCACTATGTTGCAACAAATGTCAAGCAATCCTATGCTCTTAAACCGAGTTCTTGGTGCACAGAGTGGAGGTTTAAGAGCGGCACTTTTAGCGAAAATGGCAGGCTATGGTGGAGCTGCAGACGGAACAGCCTATAACCCTCAAAGTCAAATGAATTTGAGTTCACTCAAAAATCAAATAGCAGATGTCAAAAAGTCAAACATAGACATACAGAAACAAATAAGTGAAAACGAAAAGAAACTAGAATATGACAGACACACAAAGAAACTCAATGAGTTAAACGTAGAGAAAAAGAAGAAAGAAGAACAACTGAAAGAACTAAGTACAGAGGAATATGCGAAAAAAGTGTCAGAAAAAGCAGCAGAAGTAGCAAAAATGGAACAAGATGTCATAAATTTGAAAAACCATACTACTCAATATAAAGTACTGAAAGATGAAGAGATAAAACAAAAAGCCCTGAAGACATATATGGATAGCGATGAGTATAAAAAAGAAGTTGAAGCAAATGTAAAGGCAGAAAAACTTTTACAGTTGCAAAACCAAACCGTACAGTATGAAAACTTAGCACAAGAAAGTAAAAATAACGACGCAGCCATGCAAAAGGCAATGAAAAGCGCAGAATATATAAAAGCTAACAATGACTGGTTAGATGCCCAAGCCAACGCTAAAGCAGCCCAGCTTATAGGGTCAATAAGGACAAAAATACAAGCGGATGAAGACAGTTCAAATGAAGCTTTAACAAATGCTGACTTTAAGAACGCCTTCGAAGCTCTTCATAGTAAGGTGAAACAAGTGAACGATTTCTCATCTGGAAAGAAACTGAAGTCTGAAGGTTTCGACAAAGAGTTAAGAGAAGTAGCACAAAATCTGACGAAAATAACAGATGCAACAACGAGACAGGCAGTTCAAAGTGCCTATGACGCCGTTAGAGCAACTGTTGTGGAAAGTCAAGAAAAAGAGTTACAACAGACCAAAACAGACCTAGTAAATGCTTTCTTAAAAACGAAAAGTCAGGTAGGACACTATGCTGCAGATGGAACATATGTGCCAGCTGGTGGAACTTATATACCAGCTGGTGGAACTTATATACTAGCTAGTGGAACTTATATACCACCAAACCCTCCAAGAGAAGCACCTGCACCAGGACTACCTAGAACATTTACATCGTCACATGGACACAGACACAGGCATGCACCAAAACCAACACAACAACCAACACAACAACCAACACAACAACAACCACAACCAACAGTTCAAAACCCTGCACCAAAACCAACACAACAACCAACAGTTCAAAACCCTGCACCAAAACCAACAGTTCAAAACACTGCACCAAAACCAACAGTTCAAAACACTGCACCACAACAACAACCAGCACAACAACCACCTCCACAACCAGCACCACAACCAACAGTTCAAAACACTGCACAGCAACAACCACAAACAGAGCAAGGACATAAAAGAAGTAGAGAACAAGGAAACCAAGATTTCTTAAAAATGCTTAAGGAAAATTATGGTTACCCAGATACTCTTGACTTTAGTGACAGATATAAAGAAGCTATTAGAAAGTTCAAGGAAGGAAATATTGACCCGAACCTATTTAGCTTTATGGTTCAGCACCAAATGGGATATAATTTCAAACCTGGAAAATACAAGCTCGCTAAGGAATATGATTTAATAGCATATCATCCAAATGACATGACTGAATTTACTCCGAGATATTTGGTGTCAGAGCTAAATGACAATTCAACTCTCTTCATGAAACGCGTAAAAAATAAAGACGGAACGAAAGAAGAAAGGTTTATGAGTCCGGATGACTTAGATAGGGAACTTGTTAAAAACGGTCTCGGAATATATGAAATGCCAGCAGATGAGGTACAAGAAACTCCACAGGAAGAAGTTCAGATACAACCAGACATGGAAGAAATAGTTCAGCAACAACAGCTAGAAGAGCCTGAAGGAAACGAACAAGTCCCTCCTTTGGAAACTAACTTCACAGAACTAGATGAAGATTTGGAACAGCCGAAAAATCTTGACCCTCAACAAGAGTATGAGGTGAATATGGAATCTTTCCAAGAGTCTAAGAAAAATTCGGCTGACATGGTAGAAGAATATCGAAAAATGTTTGCCGACATACAAAAGACTCCAACACCAGATGAAAATATTCAGCATAGAATGGAAGAACTGAAAGAAAATGTACACAAATACAACAACCCTTTTTACTTACGAGCATATAACGTTCAATCTTTGGATGAACTCGGTGAAAATAAAAGGTTAAATTTCAACAAAACATATAGAAATGAAACATTGTTTAAAGTTCATTCAGAACCTAACCAATATGGAAACAAACCTACTTTTGTTTCTGCAGACTATGGAACTACAATGAGATGGGGTCATAAAGCTAACCCGGATAGGTGGTTCATAAACTTACAACCACAATTCCAAGATGTTGTAGACGCAATGGAAATGAATGGTGAACCAGATTTAGCTGGTATTTTCAGCGCGGCTTTAATGCCATTGAAAGATATGAAAGATGCAGATATTTTGAACCAGTATGAAATGAACATGGCTGATGGAAATATAACACCTGACGTTCTAGAACATTTATCTCAAAGAACTACACAGAACCATAAAGATGGTATATTTGGTGAAGAGTTTAGAAAGAAAGTTAGGGAGACAGAAGGAAGAGAACCTATTGTACATGACCTTGCAAACGAAAGTTTACAAAATGTCATAAAAACTTACTTTGCAGACAATGAACCGAGAAGGGATGAATATTTAAGAAAACTCAAATGGACAGTACCAAATGAAATGTTAGTATTGAAAAACATGTTCCTTGACAAAATAAAACCAACTACAGAAATAAATGACGCAAGACTGAAAGATTGGGTAAAAGCTTTCCCATTCACAAAAGATATTGTTGGTAACATGGAAAGAAAACCAGAATGGCTACAAAAACATATATTTGGAAACGAGCTTATTCCATATGGACAAGCTCTGTTTGAAGAGCTTGAACCGGAAACTCAGGAAAGAGTCATGCAAACAATACGCGAAGACTCAAATACAAACTATGACAAAATCTTTCTAGGATATAGGTTACCTGAGATGGGCGACCAGAGCCCAAAGGCAAAAAGGACATGGGAAATTTACAACATACTAGGTGAACATGAGGCAAAGATGCAACAACTTAAAGCAGAGGGCAAGTTACCAAAAGCGACACCAAAGAAGAAGAGAAGAGTAGAACAAAGTGAAAGTAGTGAAGAAGTAACTTCATCTAGTGAAAGTAGTGGCAATGAAGGAAAAAGAAGAGTTAAAAACTCAGCCAGGAAGAAAGTAAAGCTTGGTCCACGTGGGTTCTATTATGACAAATAAATCCAACTATTCTATATTTTTACCCATATGAAATGTACGCCGCTCAGAATATAACGCCAACAGTTTTGGATGCCATGAACGGAAATGTTTCCGAATGGTATAACGAATGCGACAATGCCATTAGAAGGTCAGAAATAGTTCCTGGAACTTACGAATATACAACTGCTGTTTCTTATGGAAATGTAGGTGAGTTTGGAGAAGGTTCTTCAACAACAGTAGATATTGCTTGCGACAGGTTTCATATAATTTCTATTGACAACTCATTCTTATACGTGGAACAAGACATTGAAATAAAACCTTCTGCCAAGTTGTCTGACAAGAAAGGTTGCAATGGAATTTTCTATGTCGGATACCAATATGCTCCAGAAGTTTTCATGGGATATAAGATATATTCTAACTCTGACTTAGTTCAAACAGTAACATGGGCAAACTATGAATGGTTCGCTTTAAGAAACTCAGTACAACCACAAGCTAGAGAACAAACAGACCAGTATGCAACTATTGAGAAAATAAGAAGACTTGACCCTAACGTTCCAGGAGTTTATGTTGACCTTTCTGGACAAACTGCAGCAGCAGTAACCAAAGTAAAACTGAAACTTAGAGTTCCTTTGTCATCTTTCCTCATCTTCAGGTTTTTAAGATACTTGCCAAACTGGGCAGGAAAAATTTCTATCGAACTTACTCCAAGCAAAAATAACTTAGTCATTGCACCAACACAAGACCCATTCACTCTTACAGACGTAAAGGGAGCAAATCAAACGTCATTCGCCGAATTTTGCAAAGACAAAGTTGACTTAGACTTTGGTTTCTCAAACCTCAACACTGAAGTAAAGTATTATTTCAATGCTGCTGGAACTGCTTGGGACCCAGTTAGGTTTACATGCGAACAGTTTGAATGCAAGAGAATAGAAAGCAGACTTGCAGTCTATATGTTGGACCCAGATATTTCAAATGCTTTAGCTGCCAAATATATTGCAGTTCCACTTATGTTCCCTATACACCAAATATCTGTCAAAGACTTTGCAGGTGAAGTTGGAAACCAAAATCCAGGAACCGCAGGTGCAAGAACAGATATTGCTTTAACAACTGCAATGAAACACGCAGATACTATGTTTGTACTGTTCAGACGAACTATAAATGACTATTCTTGTTTCTACAACCCCGGTATTAAATATCATATAAACATAGATGGCAAATATTATCCAAGAGAAGAATATTCTACAGTTGAGGATATGAGGTCATACAACTTGACATTAGATGCTATGAACTTTAACAACAACTTCACAACAACCATTAACCCTGAAATGCAAAGTTCTATTATGCCATATGTGAAAGTATGGACCCATACAGGAAGTCAAAAAACTCAATATACAAATGGAGACCGTTCAAACTTTTGGCTTGGCATTCCATTTGCTGACTCAGAAGACTTTATGGGTGGTATTTCAACTGTTGGTACTGTACAAATACAATATACTGGTGACAGAGACGGTCCATATGAACTGAGAGCAAAGAAGTTTACAAAACCAATAGCACTTTTCACGGAAGATGCTCTTTTGAAGATTCGTTCGATGAAACCTGCTGGGGCTCCTCAGATTGGCATAACGACAGCTTCCATCGAGCAGATTTTGGCAGCAGGTCAGTAAGTTGTTCTTGAACTGACTTCTCTCCGTCAAATATTGACAGTACGCCAGTTTTGACATAATATTGTATTATAAACTTACCTTTAGAAATATCTGTAAGTTTTGTTGTTATATTTTTGTCTGCTTCAAGAACTTTCACCATTTCGGTTATACCAACTTTCTTTGCTTTATGAAAATATTTTGGTTCAGCAAAGACTGCTATTCTATAACATTTTCCATTGTTTGTGTAAAGAACTATTCTGTCAATGTATTTGTATTGTTTGTGTGTGTAAACTTTGTTCTGCTTCAATTCGAAGAGATACTCGAATACGTCCATATTTTTATTCGAAGTAAAATGTCATTTCCGAAAAATAGAAGCGTAAGTGTTTCAAAAGGTTTAATGGCAGTGGCAGATGTGAAGTTAAATTCACCAACTCAAACAAACAGTCAAAGTGTTATTGTCAATGTCAAAGAAAGAGATGTTGAAGTGGGGAAACCATACGAAGACCAAGATGGTATAACAATTGTTCCTGTAAAAGAACAACCAACATACCCTGAAGTTAGCAGAGACTTAAGTTCTGTTGCAGATATTCGAAACGACTACCAACAACTGAAAGACAAACTTCAAACTCAGGAGAAGATTTGTCAAGCTTTAGGTATAATGTTAAACTTGGTCGAACACAACCCTGTAAAAGTGAACTCATATGTCATTGCACCTCATGAAGTTTTGAAAGAACTATTGAAACTTTTGACAGAGGCAGACGATATAAACATCAAAGAAATAGAACCCGACGTTAGTTGCTGTGGTGTTTCATATAATGTCATTGACAAGATATACGTTATGAAAGGAGGTGAAACGTTGAACTTAAAGTATAGTTTCCCAGACGTTATAAAAATATTTGACGACCACAACATTTCAATAAAATTTATTTGCTAAGTAAAATGGCAGAAGACACAATGGTTTATACTATTACGACTAAAAACCCTGAGTCATATAATTCTATAACAACAAACTTACAAAGTCCTCAAGGACGATATTGTAAACTAACCTTAAACACAATGACGACTAAAGCTTGTTTTGCTCTTTTGACACCAGAAGATTTTATTGTTGTGAATGGTAAAAAATACTCCTTTGAAGATACTTACTCAGATATACCACCAACAGGTTTTGTTGACTTATTTAATACTTTAAGGACGAGTGTAACATGTGCTGCAACTAGAGCAGGTTTCATTATGTTTGGATGTCCGACTGAGTTTACTATAAACAATATGAGCTATAATACAAAACTTATATCTGGTTTTTACTACCAACAGTTTCCTATAACAGGAAAAGGTGTCATACAAGGAATGTCTATTCCATTGACTTTAAGTACACCTATTTTATATATTGTTTCAAACTTAGGTTCAAAGTGTTATTCGAATGTCGACAGAAACTACTATGACCAAAAGATACTTATGCGTATAAACAACACTTTCTCTGCTGGTTTGCCTATTGTTCATTCGAATGCAGAGTTTTCAGCTTTAGTAAACTCAAACACTTTAGCAAACATAAACTTAACCTTAGTTGACGCAAACTTTGTTCCTGTAAAACTTTTATGTCCTATGTATTTGTCAATGACGGCAGAAAGTTTCGAATTGGAAGATGCAACTGGTGAAAGTATTGTATTACAAGAACAACTTCAACAACAAATAGCTCAAGAACAACAAATGCAACAAATGCAACAAATAGCTCAAGAATAAAAAAAATATTTTTTTTTATTTTTATAAAAATGTACAGAATAGATGTTTCAGATTTTTATGACTTCCAAGCGTTCAGAAATATGTGTCCATTTCGAGACTATAACAAAGCAGTCGAGAATTTGAAACGTTTAGTCATTTATGTCGACTCTGCCCCAGAATGTTATGTCATGAAAGAATGGGATGTAGTCTTTAACAAACCTAAAGCGACAATAGTTTCAGAACAAGAATGTAAACAGAAACTTAAGAAAATAAAAGTCGTACAAGTTGGCATGAAGATGTTAGATGCTTGGGATATCTTATTGTCAAAGTTAGAAGATTTTTCAGTTCGAGGTATAAAGTTCTATACACCTTCTCCAAACTTCTATTCTATCTTCACTGGATATAAATACGAACAAGTAGAATGGAAAGAAAATGTTATAGAAGCTTGGTTAGACCATGTCAAAGAAATTATATGCAATGGAAACGAAAGAGTCTATGAGTATATCTTATGTTGGTTTGCAAACATCTTACAACATCCAAGTGCTAAAAATGAAACTGCTCTCATTATAATTGGAAAACAAGGAACAGGTAAGAACACATTCTTTACAGATATCTTATGCAAACTGTTAGAAGGTTATTCGAATCCGAATATGACAAACTTAGAAAACATCTGTGGCAAGTTTAACTTTTCAATAGAGAATATGAAACTTATAGTATGTAACGAACTTCAAAGTATAGATACAACAAAAGTTTTGAACTCAGATGCTTTGAAGAGTCTTATAACAGACAAAGTTGGAGTTGTTGAAAGAAAATATAAAGACCAAAGAGTTTGTGAAAATGTTGTAAATTTCATTATGGTTTCAAACAATGCTGTTCCGATGAAGTTAGAAAGTTCTGACAGAAGATATGTAGTTGTCAGAACGTCAGAAGCTCATATGCAAGATACAGAATATTTTGACGACTTAGCAGAAACTTTGACATCTGACTTTTACAACCACTTGTTCTCATATTTTATGACATTAGATATTTCAAAGTTCAATCCAAGACAAATTCCACATACCGAAGAGAGACAAACATTGTTAGAAGCAAACAAGAGTGTATATGAACTGTTCATAGATGAAACTGACTTTGAGTGTTTAGATGAAAGGTCATTGTACGACTCGTATAAACAATATTGTCAAGAGTATGGTTATATGACAGCGTCTAAACGAACATTCTTGGCAAATGTCAAAAGTCTTTTAGATGTTCAGAATGGTGTATATACAAAGAAAAATTTTTCTGAGTAAATTTAAAAAAAAATATTTTTTTTATCCGATAGAAAAAGATGGCAAAATTCATCTCAGTAAACAAGTACATGTCAGGACTTAAAGAAGAACTAGACCCATTACATATTTGAATGTTTACTTCTACCATTTTGAAAAGTCTTCATTCAGCAAAGTTTGGAAACATCAACCAGTTAAGTTTGCTATTGTGACTAAAAATGGTGCGAAATTTGAAGACTTAGACATAGAAGGTTTGTTAGCAGTCAAAGAAAGTTTTGACAGAAGGTTCTCAAACCTTAAAGAAGGCAAAGCATACAAACTTGTTATACCTTATGAACCAAAGAAAGCAGACGACTATGAATATTATGAGTCTAAGATAGTTGAAGTTCAAGGTAAATTGGGTAAAAATTTTAGAGTCTAAGCCAGTGTTTACTCCTAAAGAGGAAGAACATTGACATTGACCCAGAAATGTTCTAAAAATAAAATTTTATTTTTACATGTCAAATTTCTTTTTCTCTGGAACTGGTAGGTTCTTTTTTCTCTTCTTCTACTTTCTTTTCTTTCTTTTCTCTCTTCTTCTTTTCTGGTGGAGTTATGTCAAACTTCTCAGAACCATATTTTTGTAAAAGTTCTTTGTCCTTTAATAGCTCTTCTATTCTGTTTTCTATTTCATCTTCAAGAACAGTGCATGTGTCTTCTTTGCATTCTAAGAAGTTTTGTTGGACTTCATCTCTCCAAGAGGCGTCATCTCTGTCAACAAGTCTGTCATTGACAAATTTTAAGACTTCTCTGCTTAATGTTTTATGGTTCTTGTCATATTCCCAGAAACAGAACTTTAGAACAAATTCACCTTTCTTGTTTACACTATGTAAGATTTTATGGTCGACAGATGTTTTGCTGTCGAAAAGCTTGTCTCGAATATAGATGGCGAAATCGCTAGACATTTTCTAAAAGATAAAAATTTTAATTTTTCTAAAAATATGTTAGAAAAAAAGTTTGCTGACATTGACAAAAAATTTGAGAATGTTTTAAATAAGAACAAGAGGAAGTTGGAAAATGCTCAGATAAAACCCATACATGACAAGTTCTTATTTGCTCAGAATGGTATAACAGGTTAATTGCACCACCTGGGTCGGGTAAGACTTTCACTTATCTTAAAATGGCTGCACAACAAGAACTAGATGAGAAGAACCCATTCTATGAGTTAGTAGTCATTTGTAGTACTTCTGGTCAATTTGACCAAACCGTCAATTCGTTCAAAGATATTATAAAGAAGTCTAAGTTAGTATGTATAAAAGACTCTGAGTTGTTAGATTGGATAAAGAAGTACCAAAGAAGAGTTTTGAAGTACAATGCTATAAATGAGTATATAAATTCGAAGTTTAAAGACCAAATGAGGAAATGCAGAGAATATTAGAGAAGAACACTTCAGAAACAAACAGAAAGAGATAGAATACATTTCGAAGAAATTGCAATCTTACGATTGGAAGACATACCCTCATAGATGTCTTCTTATCTTAGATGACTTTGCTTCTCATCCTTTGTTAAAGAACAGAGAACAAGACATGTGTCGAATTCTTAAGAAGCTCAGACACTTTAACATTTCAGTTGTCATTTGTGTACAGACAGCAAAGAGTTTAAGTAAGGATGTAAAGAGAATACTTACTGACATTGTACTTTTCCCCGGATTGTCCGAAGACGATTTCATGGAACTTATGAAAGAGTCCATGGCAGGTAAGTTTGACAGACATGAACTATGGGAGAAGTACAAAGTCATACAAGACCCTCATACTTCTTTCAGAATTCACATCTACGCAAACAAAGTTCAAATTGTAAAAAGTCAAGCGTAAAAAATCTAAGTGTTTAGTCTTAGTCTGTTGTGGTGCTGCAGCTTTCGGTTCTTCTGGCTTTGGAATGGACTCGGTTGGTGGTACGTCGGACATTCGTTTGTGTCCTGTCGGATGGAAGAACTTTTCCTGTTGGAAGGAAAAACTTTTCCAGTTGTCGGGAAATTTTTTTCCAGTTGTCGGGAAATTTTTTTCCTGTCTGAAGGAAAAATTTTTTCTGTCGTTCGACCAAAAAGTTCTCAATTTTCGAAAATTTGAATGGTTTACGGACGGACAACAGGAAATTTTTTTCCTGTTGGAAGGAAAATTTTTTCCTGTTGGAAGGAAATTTTTTTCCTGTTGTCGGGAAATTTTTTTCTTGTTGGAAGGAAGGACTTGGAATGTCGGAAGGAAGGACTCGGAATGCCAGAAGGATTTGACAAGACAATTGACCTTATAGAGCTACCTGAGCCATCTGAAGTCAAGCTTGAAAAATAAAGAGTGCATTTACTCTGCTTGTTTGAAGTTGTCAAAATACTCTGTTATTTTTTCTTTCAGTAGCGGTAAGTCTTCTTTGAAGGTAAGTATTGTACAACCTTTCATATCATAGTGTGTTTGAGGTAACGTATCTTGAACTATTTGTTTCACATCTTCATTCGGTGTCATTGAAATCGGTAAGTTTTCGCGATAGAACCAATTTCTGTCAGATTTGTAAATCTTAGCAAGGTCGTAAAAGCTTTTGTTGTTTCTTCTGACTAAATGCAACATAACCATATCTCTGTCTTCCATATCTTCAGTATAAATCATATACTTATAGTTCTTTTCCTTTCCTTTTGGTACCGAACGTGGTATTCTTTTCTGAAGGCTTTTGTCTTTTGCTTCAATGACTTCATCTTTTGCTTCAAGCTTGTTTTCCATCTCTTCACGTTCTTGTCTATGAATTTCATCTAACATCATGAAAATATAACAAGCGTAACGAGGTGAAGCCCACATTGCAACAGCATTTACAAGAAGTCTATGTACATAATATCCTCTCAAACCATTTGGCAATTTTTCACGATTTTCGTACGGAATCTCGACCCTCGGTTTTCCGAGGGTCGCAAACATATGAGGAAATTCTTCTAAAAGTTCTTTTGTCTGCTGGTTTTCAAACCAATGATATGCTTGCTTTGTAGAACGAAGAGCATTCAAAATACTTTGCACCTGGTACATGTCGTCTTTGACCGAACGAATGAGACGTAACTGTTTGTTATATTGTATGTACTCATATTCTTCATTTATGTCTTCATGAACGATAGCAGTTGTTGTGTTCTCTGATGTTGACATATCTGTCCTTACATACAAAATAAAAAAAATATTTTATAAAAAATTAGCGTTATTTTCTGACTTTCACAAAAGACCAAAAATAAACGCTTTACATGTATTTTTCAGCAACTTCGTCAAATAATTTTATAGCTTTACCTATCTCATCTACTTCAAACGTTTCTTTACCTTTTATGGGAGCACCATAAATTTTCTCAAACTTTTCAAGTAGTTCTGTTTCAGCAGCTCTCATATCGTTAACGAACACAACCTTAACTCTATTGACTATACTGTCATATCTTTGAGTTATATTATATGTTCTTCCTATCTTATATCTCTTTGTATTGAAGTCCTTCGGTTTCTGAACGATGTAAAGTAAGCCTTCACTGCAACGTTCAGTATCGAATGAACCATATGTTATGAAGTTATATCCAACAACTGGGTCAATCCATAACAAAACTATTGGTATAAGACTTTTGTCTATAAGATATGCTGCAGTTCCATAGAATCTTACCGATATCATAAGCTCAGGATTTCTTGTCAAAATTTTCTGAGTTGAAGCAATTTTAACCCAGTCGAATGCTTTCTTTCCAGATGGAGATATAATGTCTGACAAAGAATATTTTTTGTATTTCTTTGAGTATCTTACGTTTAAATCACCTATTCTAACCACTTTGGTGTCATTGTCTATCTTTTTAACTGTTTCAAACTCAGTGTTTGTCATTTTCTGTTCTTACATACAAAATAAAAAAAATATTTTTTAAAAAACTAACTTTATTTTTTTATTTTGTATCTTAAGGAAATTCACGAAATTTGGTCATTTTTTCACGATTTTAGGGATTTTTTTGACGAAGTGTCAAAGTTCTCTTCGTCACTCATAACACAAAAATAGTGTATTTTTGACGAAGTGTAAAAGTTCTCTTCGTCACTCATAACACAAAAATAGTGTATTTTTGACGAAGTGTCAAAGTTCTCTTCGTCACTCATAACACAAAAATAGTGTATTTTTGACGAAGTGTCAAAGTTCTCTTCGTCACTCATAACACAAAAATAGTGTATTTTTGACGAAGTGTCAAAGTTCTCTTCGTCACTCATAACACAAAAATAGTGTATTTTTGACGAAGTGTCAAAGTTCTCTTCGTCACTCATAACACAAAAATAGTGTATTTTTGACGAAGTGTCAAAGTTCTCTTCGTCACTCATAACACAAAAATAGTGTATTTTTGACGAAGTGTAAAAGTTCTCTTCGTCACTCATAACACAAAAATAGTGTATTTTTGACGAAGTGTCAAAGTTCTCTTGGTAAAAAAATAACAGTTATATAATGAAATTTGGTCATTTTTTCACGATTTCAGGGATTTTTTTACGAAGTGTAAAAGTTCTCTTCGTCACTCATAACACAAAAATAGTGTATTTTTGACGAAGTGTCAAAGTTCTCTTGGTAAAAAAATAACAGTTATATAATGAAATTTGGTCATTTTTTCACGATTTCAGGGATTTTTTTACGAAGTGTAAAAGTTCTCTTCGTCAAAAAATAACAGTTATATCATGAAATTTGGTCATTTTTTCACGATTTTCATGAGTTTTAGGCGACCAGGTTTTTTTCCCTACTCGCAATTTTTTACGATTTTCATGAGTTTTGGCGACCCCGAAAAAAGTCTGGGTCGCAAATTTTTACGATTTTCGTACGGAATCTCTATCCTCGGTTTTTCGAGGGTAGCAAACATATGAGGAAACTCATGATTTTTGGTCATTTTACTCGGCAAAAATATATTTTAGGTGTCACCAGGTCCCTCGGTCCCTCGGTCCCTCGGTCAACTAACATCTTTTTGAAAATGGTGACAACATGACATTTTGACAACAACACAGGAAATAGACTTCTTCGTAAATGTTTCACAAGCGTTTTACATGGTATATGTTGTGATGGTTCATGACTTTAAACAGTTTTGTAGCTTCTATTTCTTCACGAAGGATATCAAAAGTTTTAACAATGCCGAAGGTTTCTTTATATTTCTTCTTGACGTCAGATAGAAGGAAATCGTCAGCTGTTGGATAGTTTTTGTTTAGAAATGTCAACATGTCCATTTTATCTTCTGCTGGTTTCTCTGCTTCTTTCTTTAAGTCAGCATAGTCGTTTCTCATACGTTCTATCTCTTTGACGGAGTAGTTATATTTCTTCATTGCTGCTTTACATTTTGAACATTGTGGGTTCATTTTAGCATTGTACATTGAAACCTTACCTGCTAAAACAACTAAGGCGTAAATGGTTTTCTTTAACTCAAAAGTTGCGGGTTTTATCTGTTCATTCCATACTTTACCTCTTCTATCTTTATCTCTTATCTGCCATACACATTTTGCAACTAACGAAACAAAGTTGTCGTAGGTCTTAAACTCCCCAGATTTATATATGTCAATGAAATATACCATATCGCAATCTTTGTGGTTGCAATGAAATCCAAGAAACTCATAGTTTACCTTACGTATGAACTTCTTTATTTCTACTGAGTCAGTTGCTTTGACTTCAATTTCATCGAATTCAGGAATAGTGAGCTTTTGTTGTTGTATTTCAGGAAGTTTAGGTAGATGTTCCACCAGGTCCTGCATTTCATAAAGATACTGTTCATTTGTTTCATCTTTCGCACTACAGTCTAAATTACTTGTTAAAAGTTCCTGCTTTATCTTCTGGATTTCTGTTTCGAAAGTATATGAAGAAGGAATGAAGCTTTTCATCTCTACTAACATAGATGTTGGGTTCATGACTAAAGAGTTTGGTGCTGTTGTTGCTAACATGTTCTTACAATAAAAATAAAAAATATTTTTTTAAAAAAACTAACTTTATTTTTTATGTTTTTTGTGAAAGTGTCAAAATTCATGAGTTTTGGTTGAAAAATACGGTGGAGCCAAAAGTGGCTCGACCTCAAAACAAGCATTTTGTGAAGAATATACCAACCGCCGGAATTCCGGCGGTTGCTTTTTATACAAAATTCAACGGGTGAAAGAATACGATGAAGTCATGACAAAACATGTACGTTCATGTTTGACAAAACAAGCATTTTGTGAAGAATATACCAACCCGCCGAAAACAGCGGGTTGCTTTTTATACAAAATTCAACGGGTGACAAAACATATACGATGAAGTCATGACAAAACAAGCATTTTGTGAAGAATATACCAACCGCCGGAATTCCGGCGGTTGCTTTTTATACAAAATTCAACGGGTGACAAAACATATACGAAGAAGTCATGACAAAACATGTACGAAGAAGTCTTGACAAAACATGTACGATGAAGTCATGACAAAACATATACGAAGAAGTCATGACAAAACATATACGAAGAAGTCATGACAAAACATATACGATGAAGTCTTGACAAAACAAGCATTTTGTGAAGAATATACCAACCGCCGGAATTCCGGCGGTTGCTTTTTATACAAAATTCAACGGGTGACAAAACATGTACGTTCATGTTTGACAAAACATATACGAAGAAGTTTATTTCCTGTGTTGTTGTCTAAATGTCATGTTGTCTCATTTTTTCAGAGAAGTTCGTTTAACCGAGGGACCGAGGGACCTGGTGACACCTAAAAACCATCTACCCTAAAATATATTTTTGCCGAATTCAATAAAAATAAATGGTTCATTTACTCACAATATTTTTGTACAAAACGACCCCAAACTTTTAACTTCTTTTCTGCAGCTTCTAATGCTATCTTAGCGAGTTCATATTCTCTAAATTCTCTCTTTAAATCTTCTTGTTCCCATTGGTCTAGTTCGTATGGAGAATCTTTATAACCATAACACATCTCATGTTCATGTTCAAATTGTTTTTCGCACTTTTTTCTAACTTCTTGTTCGAACAAAGGTTTAGCATTCTCTACTGTATCTTCAAGTTCTTCTTCATCTAATTTCTCATGAACTTTCTTGTCTATGGAGTCCATAATTTTTCCAACTGCTATGCAATATTTTGGAGAAGCCCAGATTGCTATATAGTTTATAAGTCTTGGGTCTGCATACGTTCCTCTAACCTGTTTGATTTCATCAGGAATTCCTGCATGAATTTTGTATAAAAACCAACCGCCGGAATTCCGGCGGTTGCTATATTCTTCACAAAATGCCTTATAATACTCTTCCCAGGACTTATTTTCCAACAACTTTCTAAAGTCTTTCCTAAACTGCTGACACATATTTGTTACATTTATATAACCATCCTTGTCTCTACGTAAGACTTCAATACCGTTATAGGTGCCTTTTGTGAATGTTTCGCCATTAGATTTGTTCGTGAACGTTTTTGCTTCGACTGTCATTTCAGTTCTTACAATAAAAATAAAAAATATTTTTTTAAAAAAACCAACTATATTTTTTATTTCGGGAAAATTCATGACAAAACATTTACGATGAAGTTTATTTCCTGTGTTGTTGTCTAAATGTCATGTTGTCTCATTTTTTCAGAGAAGTTAAAATGACCGAGTGACCGAGTGACCTGGTGACCTGGTGACCCCTTCAGTTCTTCAAAACATTTACGAAGAAGTCTTGACATTTTCCTGGACTGTTGTCAAAATGTCATGTTGTCACACTTTTTCAGAGAAGTTAAAATGACCGAGTGACCGAGTGACCTGGTGACCTGGTGACCCCTTCAGTTCTTCAAAACATTTACGATGAAGAAGTCTTGACATTTTCCTGGACTGTTGTCAAAATGTCATGTTGTCACACTTTTTCAGAGAAGTTAAAATGACCGAGGGACCGAGGGACCGAGGGACCTGGTGACACCTAAAAACCATCTACCCTAAAATATATTTTTCAATACTTTTTCAGCACTTTTCCGTAGTTATATATGAAAGACAATTCGAGATAAAAGTCATAGTACAATGGTATTATATGCTGCACACCATTTGTTGTGAACCAAACTTGAAAGTCAGAGAAACTGTTACTAGGTGGTTCGTAGAATTTAGAAGCAAAGTCATAAACGTCCTTACCAATACATAGAAAACTATTGTTGCTTGAACTGAAACTTGCATGACACATAACATTTTGAGGGTCAAACACGTTTCTATAAACTGTCAAATCTGCTGGTGGATGTATAAATTGAAATGGACCATCTGGTGGTAATGGTTCGTTCTGGTTTAGTAACCGAAGAAATTGTGCCCAAGAACGTTTGTCTACTCCCCAAAATAAAAACTCTGTATCTCTTGGAGGGTTAATTTCAATCTTTTGAAATGAAACGGTGGAGTTCATCTTGTCATATTCTAGTTTCAGATAGTATGTTCCATTTAGTAAAGAGTCGTATTTTTCTTGAAATTCCCAATAGTATTTGTTCATTTGAGTTTGAAAGTCATTTAGAGTTTTCTCAAGACTTTCGTCTGAACGAACTGTAAAGATCCTCATTTCATCAAATTTGTCTATAAGACCATCAGAACCTTTATACTGCCCATGAAAATATACTGCGAACATAAACGCGTTAGTTCTATTTGAAAACAAAACTCTTCTAAATCCTATTGCCTTTGCATCTGAAGGACTTTGAAGCCAACGAATTGGATAGTCAAACCTGTAAGCTCGGGATGAAATTTCTTCATCTGATATAGTCCTACCAGCATTTGTAAAGATATAGTCTAACGGTTTTGTATCTGCTACTTTTGTTCTTTGTTTTTCAACCTGAAGCATTTAATATATGTAAAAATATATTGTTTTAAAATGGTATGCCATTTCATATTTCTCATCTAACAAACAAGTTTCCCAACGGTCTTCTCCAACAAACTCAGCGTACATTTCAAATAAAATAAAAAAATATTTTTTTCTCTTTACTTTACATAACCGCCCGCTACCATAAGTCTTTGACGCCAACCCATACCAGCTAATGAAGGTTGACTTGGTTTAGTTTGGAAACTAAACTTTGGTTTTGGTTTATCTTCAGTTTTTGGTTTTTCTTCTTCTATCGGTTTTTCGTCACTTTCCGGTTCCTTTGACTTTACTTCACTTGCAGGAATAGTTGTGTCGTCAACATCTTCATAAATATCATATGCCATTTGTTTTTGTTTTCCTTTCAACTTTTTGTGTTTGTTGTAAAGTTTAGAATATTTCGACTCTAAGTCAATGAGATGTTCTATAATGAACTGTTGGTCAGTGAAGTAAACTTTTCCATCTGTTGTCTCGAAAGCTCCTTCAGACTTCAATATTTTATTTGTGAGAGTCTGTTTCTTTTTTGAGATACTTGCCGTTCCATTTTTATGAAAAGTGACTTTGTAGTTAGGGTTTGTATTTCCAGACCTGGCACTTTCTATTATTGAATTTTTCTCTTCATCTGTAAGTTCTTTGACAGGTTTTGACAATGGTTCTGAACTTTTTGTTTGTGGTGTCAAATCTACCGTTTCAACTTCTTCGGTCATTTCATCTCAGTAAAAATTTTAGTTTGGTTTGTTTTCAACTGGTTGTTGTTGTTTTTTAAGTCGGTCTAAAACTTCCTGAGGTATAGGAAGAACTTGACAAACACGTTGTGTAACTGCTGGAAGCCGACAAATCCATCTTGAACCCATTTGTCTCAATGCTGTATTGTTCATTTCATCTCAGTAAAAAACTTTACATTCCCCACGTTTGAGGTGGTTGCGGTTGGTTATTGTTTACCCATTGTTGTGCATGGTTATATCCTCTGTTAAAGAATCTTTCACCTTGGTCCATATAGTGTCCTGCTTGGTTATAGTAGTCATTTGCTTTGTTATAATAGTTTCCTGCTTGTCTTCCTACATTGTCCATCCATCCTTGAACTTTTCCTCTTGTTTCAGGATTTGGAATAAGATTTGTTGCATCTCGTGCTACATCCCAACCTTTCTGTACAGTTTGTATAATAGGTTGTGCTTTCTCTTTAAGTATACCTAATGTACTCAAAATCTTCCTTCCAACTCCAAATACACCTCTGGCTATTGTTCCCACTGCGGGTAAAAATCTGGATGCAACTCCTGCTAACGCGCCAAATAAACCCATTTCTTATGGGTTAAAAAATGACGAATCCAAACAAGGACCCTATGTTTCTAAAGCGACAAAGAAAGCACTCATGGTAAAAATCTTTAGTTCAACACCAAATGCTTGGTTTATGGATATCTTGGAAAACATTCCGAGGTATAGAGAAGATGGACCACCATACTGGCTAATATTTGTCGGTCAAAACACAAGATACTGTGAAGCCATACCATTACAGTCCAAAAATATTTTAGATATCTTAGCAGCTTTGACAATATTTGTTGACAAATACCATCCAACAAAACTGACATCTGACTGTGAAAGTTCTTTCAAATCAGACGATGTAAAAAACTATCTGCGTTCAAAAAATGTAAACCAATATTTCATTGTCGACCAAAACCATTCTGCTCTTGGTGTCATTGACGGTTGTATAAAAATGTTAAGAGACTTAAACCAACCACAAGGTGGTGAAGCAAATGAAATGTCATATGACGACAAATATAGACACTTCTCCATGGCAAAGATGAGACAAGTTTTAAATATTTACAATAGCCGTAAACAAAAAGGTTTGGGAAACCACTCCCCGAAGAAATGAAAAACAACCCTGACTTAGAGAAAGACTATATATTTAATAATTTAGTCAAAAGAGACAAACAAGAAAGAATGCCGGGCTTCAAACTTCAGAAAGGTGACAAAGTAAAAATAGAAATACCTAAACGCGACCCATATGAAAATACTATTGACTATGACAACAATGGGAACTCGACAGGTACTCACATTCGTGTTCGTAAAAATAGAAGAAAGTATACAAGAGAATATTATGAAGTTTTAGGCAAACAT